TGGTACACAAATACAAATATTGTTATTGAAGTAGTCATGAACACATTGTCCTACTCATATATTATTATTTCAAATTGTAACTCGCTGTTAACGTTTATATTTCAGTCACTTATCAGTATTTAGCTACATTTAAGTAGCTAATAATTTCCTGCAACACCATGGGGGCTGCAAGATTGTGTTATTTCACTTTGAAATATGGTTAGATAAATGGTTTAGTTACTACGCGAATATTAAATTTAGATTCAAAGAGATTATGACACAATTTTTCAAATTAACTGTGAATACCACATAATGGTATACAAGAAACGTACTTATATCTTATTTTAACTGTAAAAATTTATTAAGAATCGGATTGATTCTGTTTTAAGTTATTGCATGCCGCAATTTGAATTATTTAATTGCTTCTTTATTTAACATTTGTATTTGGTTCTTGAAGAAATTATCGTTTTTACTCGAATTTCATGACTAATAACTGAACTCAATAACAAATACATTAGCATTTATCTGTTGTTTTTTGTGTCAGTTAACTGTTCAATTTAAATCAGTATGGTTTTAGCAACCATTTCGCAATTTTTGAAAACAAAGGTATGCAATTTAATATGGCATTTAAGTAAAACGTCTTTGTGTCTGTTTTGTTGTTTTCTAAGACTTTTGTGTCACATTTGTTTGTAAAATGTATTGATCAAAACATAATTGTCTTGAAACAATAGAGCTGACAATGTCCCTGTAATATATAAAAAAAAATATATGTATATAGCATCGAACAACAAATACTAATACAAACGTATGCATAACGTAAATACAGATAATTATGAAAAATACGTATACATGATTTACAATTGCGAAAATATATAGTAACATTGTTCTTTTGAATTAAGTATATGCCTTGTGGTAATCGGCTCGCTGTTCACATGATAACCATCAATCGATTGTGACTTAAGATTATCTATACTGGAGAAAATCCTGGCAGGTCTAATTTGTAAGCCTTGTCAATGATCAAAAAATGTCGATCCACAATTAGACGAGACCACATCGTATAGCTATAAATAATTGTATCGCCCAAATTTTAATAGTTGAAATACGAGTTTTAGTGTTCAGTCACGTCGTTGTATTATATTGTGGCTGATATAATGCTTGCAAAATGTTACATCGAATATAGCAAAGAATTATAAAAAAATATATTAAACATTCTTTACAATGTACTTAACATATTAATGAGAATTGATTCTAAACATATTTACCAGGTGCAAGGCAAGCACCTACATTTTGTATAGTGCAATGTACCCTCTACAGGTACTGATATTGCAGGGATCCTGTGTCAAAATCGAAATCCCCAAATCACTGGCTGCGGAAAAGTTTGCTCTTCAAGAAAAAAATATATGTTACTGATTTAACACAAAAATAATGTGGTCCCTGGTTTCCTTAGTTTTCGCACTTATTTTGTTTATAAAATTTAAATGACATTTTACCAAATTACAAATTCCATAACTATAGAAAGATGTCTTTCATGATCAATGTAAGATTTTTAGTTGCGTCAAAAACGCGCCAGTGAATTGACGCAACCAGTTGTGTTATAGCAAAACTTCAGCAGCTGTGCGTCATATCAGCTTAGAGGGCGCAGTGTAACACGTTTCAATTATAATATATAATAAAAGATGGGTATTTCAACTACGAGAGAGGACTATCATTTCAAATCAAATTTCACATTATATAGCTGCTGCTATAACCACAGACGGACAAATAACCTCATCAGTACTCGTGAAAAAGCATTGTATGCAATCCATCACTAGATAATATATTCTGTAAAGCTGCGTATAATTGTGTAAATATTTTAGATAGACAAGCATAATCACGTTTACAACTACAAACAAAATTACCTTTCAAATACTTTCCATTTTCGACATTGTGAAATTATTTTGTTTTTATGGAAGAAAATACAGTATTTTGACCAGGTAAAATCGTATTTATTAAGTTATTGTTCATACATGAGTTGTGAAGACACTACATAGTTTGTGATTCCACTCAGCTGCTTTCATATCAGTCATATGTCAGGATTTATTTCCGTGTGTCTAGAGATCGGTCATTGATACGAATTGATGACTGGTTTCATGTGAAGTGCTAGTTAATACATGTATCTACACTCCCCCATAACCTGTCATCATTTAAGCTTATACAAGGTACTGGGCGTAACTTTAGTCAGTGATTGGAACTAATTACGATATAAACTTTGCTCACAGATTGTTATTGTGAGTTTGTACCGGACAATTAATTAAATATATATGACGTGTTAAGTACTTCATGTGATTGGCTACATGCGAGTGAAATGTGTGGAGGCCACGCCTCGAGCTCTTAAACTTCCATGTGATAGGTTACAGTTTGGAGAAGTAAATAATGCTGGTCTTGGTCAGTCTTGGAGAGTTTTCCCACGAGGCAGGTGAGTCTTGAGAGAGCTCACCCCGAGGGTCTTGTGGAGTTCTCCGCCAGTCGGGTCAGCCTTGGTGAGCTCTCCACGTGGCGCTGGGACTAGAAGTTGACACGATTCCATCTCTGTGTTTGACTTTGTTCGGTCGAAGGGTTGGCGAACGTAACGATCCCGTGTACCTGAGATAAGGTTTAATAAGACGATAATTAAGCCATCATACATAATTCAATACAAACGAAATGCAGAAATATAAAGAATACGGCATTTTTTTTATTTAATATTCACTTGTAATCTTTAATTATGTTAATTATCATTGGTGTTCATATTCATATAGAATACATATTTTCTTGTCACAATCAGTTGTTTTCAGGTTTAAAACATAAAACAAAACAAAAAACACGAATTTCACAATATCGAAAATATCTTTATCGTAGTGTTTTTCAGTTTGTATGTGTACTTTCTCATCAAAAGATGCATCCATAGCTGATTGTTGTAGTGTGTAAATATATTTTGTTGAAAGAAAATGTTATTATTGTATTCGGAAATAATAAAGTGTGTTTTACTATATTACATAGAAAGTTCAGATAAATGGAAAATGTTGTCTTGGAAAGCTGGAATATTTTTGGGTATGCGTAACATTGGATGAGGAGACTGAAACATATTTTCCAGGGGCCAGTTTTTGAGCTTTTCATGGAACAACGGGAATTGTGTTTGTGTGGGCTTAGCAAAGGTTCTTTGGAATGTTTGGAAGAATTTTTAATATCTTGTGATTTGAAATAGTTGGTTTGGAATGAAAACGAGAGGTCAGAGAATCGGTTTTGGGTTGACGGGTTGACGTCTAGGGCGGGCAAGTTGTCAAAAATGTGGGTATGAAGGTA